ACACACGTGTGCCCAGGGACACCCGGGGGTGACACACGTGTGCACAGGGACACCCGGGGGTGACACACGTGTGCACAGGGACACCCGGGGGTGACACACGTGTGCCCAGGGACACCCAGGTGTGCCACATGTGCCCAGGGACACCCAGGGGTGACACACGTGTGCCCAGGGACACCCGGGGGTGACACACGTGTGCCCAGGGACACCCAGGGGTGACACACGTGTGCCCAGGGACACCCAGGGGTGACACACGTGTGCCCAGGGACACCCGGGGGTGACACACGTGTGCACAGATGCCCCCAGGTGTGTTCCTGTATGTTCCCGTGCACCTCCAGGTGCTCCCAGGTGTCCCAGGTGTGTCCCCACACATCTCCAGGTGTGTCCCAGGTGTCCCAGGTGTCCCCAGCTGTCCCCAGGTGCCCCCAGATGTGTCCCCATACATCCCCAGGTGTGTTTCTGTGTCCCCAGGTGGCCCAGGTGTGTCCCCACACATCTCCAGGTGTCCCACGTGTGTCCCCAGGTGCCCCCAGGTGTGTTCCCATGTCCCCAGGTGCGTTCCCAGCTGTCCCCAGGTGTGTCCCCAGGTGTCCCCAGGTGTGTTTCCATGTCCCCTGGTGTGTCCCAGGTGTGTCCCGTGTCCCCAGCTGTGTCCCCAGCTGTCCCCAGATGTGTTTCCATGTCCCCAGCTGTGTCTCCGTGTCCCCAGCTGTCCCCAGGTGTCCCCAGGTATGTTTCCATGTCCCCTGGTGTGTCCCAGGTGTGTCCCGTGTCCCCAGCTGTCCCCAGGTGTGTCCCAGCTGTCCCCAGGTGTGTTTCCATGTCCCCAGGTGTGTCCCCAGCTGTCCCCAGGTGTGTCCCCATTGTCCCCAGCTGTGTCTCCGTGTCCCCAGCTGTCCCCAGGTGTCCCCAGCACGCTCACCTTGGCGTACTCGATCTTGAGGGTGCAGCAGCCCGAGTAGATGTCGGCGCCGTTGAGCGAGGCCTTGGCGCGCTGGGCGCTCTGCACCGAGTCGAACGTGCCCGGGGTCAAGGAACGCCACAGAATTTTGGGAATTTGGGAATTCCAGGGGGTGGGGGATGGGCACGGCCACACCTCGAGCCAGGTGGGGTCACCTGAGCACCCACAATGGTCAGGGGAGGCTCAGATCCCTCACAGGAGGCTCTGGAGCGCAATTCCCAGGGGAACTCACAGCACCGGGATTTTGGGAACCCCCCCAGCCCCCTCCTCCCTGGATTCCGGGAACTCCAACCCCCCATCCCGGATTTTGGGGCCCCCGAATTCCCGGATATTCCACCATGGCCTGCACGCCGTTCTTGCGGAAGATGACGATTCTCTGCACGGGCCCGCA